AATGATATGGCTAAAAAGGAGAACAAAATAGATTTTACAATAGTCACACCTATAAGAAGAGGTTCAATGATATTATTATTTTTCTTGTTAAGCATCCTTTCAATGAAAGTGCAACTCTCAGCACGGTGTCTGAGAATGGGATTTCTTTGTCATCCATGATCGACCTAGGCCCAACAAACAAAGCTGCCTTAATTTTTGAGTTTAATGCACATATAGCCGTTACGGAGGAAGAAAACTTTGGTACTATAGAGTACTTCAGTTATATGGGTATTCCTTTTTCTTTTTTTTCACTTTAAAAAAAAAAATTAATGTGATGGAATTTTTGTTTTCTAAAAGTGATGAAAAAAGAAATATACTCACTTGAATGCTCCATAGTACCAAAGTTTTGTTCGTAAGGAAAAGATTCTGCACAACAAAGTAAAGAAAAAAATAAATAAATAAGTGGTTGATTTTAGTGGATCTATAAACTATTAGTATATATGGAGGAGAAAAATAATTTCGGTACTTCAGATATATTTATCACTCGGTATATACTTTATCAAATATGAAAAAAGAATTACACATTTGTACCATCCTTACTTTTATGTTTATTTCATTTATATTCCTATTATTTTTATTTTTTGTAAGATAATATCCACTATTGTTGTACCAAAAATTTACCCGTGGAGGAGATAAATGCATAACATAGCAGATTATTATGTAGTATGTACGGATAAGAGGCTAAAAGTGTAAAGAACCTTAGATACACCATCTCAAAAACTAGCTCAAAGGATGAGATTGTTCAAGGCCTTATAAAGGCCACATTAGTTGGCACATATATCTCAACACGCCCCCTCACGCAAGAGCCCTTTGGACTTGAAGTGTGGATTATGCAGAGGCTCGGGGGCGGTAAGGATCGAACCTCAAGCTCTGATACCATGTTAAGAACCTTGGGATACACACCCCAAAAGCTAGTTCAAAAGGTGGGAGTGCCAAGACCTTATAAATCTCACATTAGTTGCCCATACAACTAATATGAAACTATATCTCTCAACAAAAAGTCAAACGTGTGCGTGCGTAATAACATTAATAAGGTTTAAGGTGTTAAAAGAGATACATGTGAGGCTTAATGTTTTGCTTAAAAGGGTTTTATCCGAAGGTGAATCATCCATCTTGGGTGAGAGAAATGAGCCTGAAAAAAATAATCTATTTTAAAAGAGAAAGTCATTGTAATCCATCTCAATAGTGGGTGAAGAAATGCAATTGATTTGATTTTCATGATAGAGAGACCATTTTTGTTACCCATTTTCATTGTGGAAGTTTGCTTAGATTTTCACTTTGAGGGGATTTTTTCGCATTAAAATTGTTTCGATCTTATCTCTGTTTCCTTTGCATTTCTATTTGTTTTCTTTTTTTTCCTTCCGCATTCTTCATTGAGGCCAGCTCCTTAACCAACACTCAGAAATTATTATCTGCATTTGTAATGAAAGATTTTATTGTTGGTTGGTCTCGGATTAATCTCATAGTCGATTCAAAAGTTAAAATTTGTGGAAATATCGGAAGGAGTCAACTCGCTTCAAAGAATTAATTAAAGTTAGGTTAACTAAACAAAAAAATAAATAAATAGTTTGATCTGTTCTTCTCAATATTCCATCTGTATGATCAGTTTTTCATTTGCTAGAAGAAAAAAACTCCTTTTTATTTCATTGCCTTTTAGCTAGGGTGTATCGTTCTATAGTGGTTCTCTTCTGATTGAATAATAATAATAATAATAATAATAATAATAATAATAATAATAATAATATTATTATTATTATTATTATTATTGTTAATATTATTATTATTATTATTAAAATAATTTCACAGTTTATATAGATTACTTTATTAACTTTAAACAAAATACTACTTAACATATTTTTTCTAAATTTTTTTACATCATAGAATTTATTATTTTGCTAGGCCCCACAATTATTCTAAAGTAATATCAGTATCTGTACACAATTTATGCTAAATATAATAATTTTGTACATATATTATTCAAAAATTTAACTACACGTACCCACGCAGTAATACAAAAATATGAATATAAGATTTGTTTTTTCCAAAAAATAATAATAATATGAATATGAATATAAGATTTGTGAATCCGGCTTTCACAGTGTCGCTGAAATAACAAACCAAGTGTTCGGCTATTAAACCCAATCCACTAAAAGAATTTGGGTGTGCTAATTATGGCCCAACGGACCTCAAGAACAGTGAAACGACTCGTTTTCTTTTCGATACTTAAATTTTTTCACTTTTTTGGTAAGCTTCGATAGTTATGCTATATTCCTGCTTCATGGTTGGAAGGTTGTTATTTATTCCCAGCCAGATTCATAGGAAAATATACCGAACAATTGGTGCCAGTTTGGTTCTCTTATTTTTAGTTTATCTCCTTTTTATAAGCAGAAGCTTACTAAAAGTTTATACAATCACCAAATAGCTTTTAGCTTTATTTTTTTAAGTTCAATTTTTTTTTTTAATTTTAGCTTAAAATAATATATTAAATATGATAAAAAATAATTTTTATATTATCTTATTTTTATATATAATTATTTTCTTTAGTATCCTTTTTAATAAGTCATTTATCAAATATGATAAAAAATAATTCATTTATATTATTCTTATCTTTACAATTATTTCATTTCATGTTATTTTTTATAAGGGAGTTTTGTTGCACAAAAAATAGGGTTTTATAAGAGTTATGTTGTAGGAAAAGTGATTGTGTTATGTTATAGAGATTCGTTTTGTGTGCCGAAGTTGTTTTTTTTGCTGCGGGCCCCACAAAATGTTGTGTGTAGAAAAATTTTTGTGATAATGTTAAAAGATAGATGATAAACCCCAAAAAATATGCTTGCTTCATAGATATCAATGTTCGGTGATTGTATTGTTGTCTGAAAAGCAGGATTGAACTTTTTTAAAGTGTTGGTGACTATAATGCATCAACACTTCAAAAATTTTGACGTGTGATGTCTGACATTTTGACACATTTTGACAATTCAACATGCATTGTAGATACTTAAAAAAGAGTTCAAAAGTTGCGTTGCGTTACGTTTTTCGTTTCAACTATTAGATTTGTTAAATTATGATTATTATTTTATTGAGTTTAATATAAATATTTGTGATATCTTATGTTTCTTTATAAAATTAATGGATATAATAAGTTTAACTTCATTTTTTTGTTAAATTATATAATATTAAATAGAATATATACTATATAAATTTAAAATTATTTAATATCAAAATATATCTTAATGTGTCAAAATTTAATATTTTTTAAAATTAACATGTTAGAATATATATCGTGTTCCAAATGAAAGTCGGTGCAACATAAGATGGTGACGAGAGGCTCGTGGACTCAATAAAGCATGCAATGTCGTGTCTCAATCAACATATTTTTTTGGGTTATGTTTATCTTCTTTTATGTGAGATAAATAACTTTCCTGCACACACAAGAAGGGGTTGGGTCCCATCACTCTTTTTTCTCTCTCCTCTTATCTATGATCTCACTTATACTTTTATTTCTACAACATGAAGTAATTTTTTTCCTACAACATAAGAAACATATATCCCTATTTTTTTTATCTCAATCGGTTCATTTAAATTCAGGTAGTCCGTTCATCATGGAACGTCATTTTATGTTTCGAATTTCTTTCTTATTGTTTGTTTGGAAGGTCTTATTTTAAATTTTTTTCTCTTTATAAATAGAAGTTATGTCAAATAAATTTTTATAAAAACTCTTATAATGAAAAAAAAAATAAAAAATTAAAAATTCTTATAAGGATTTTTTTTTAAAAAAATTTATTAGTTTTTTTGAAAATGTGCGCTTGTTTTTGAAATGTATAATTTTAAATTAATTTTTTTATATAATAACCAAAAAACTTATAATTTTATTTTAAAAACTCTTTTTTTATACTTTAACTTAAAAAAACAAAAAACAAAATACAGAAAAAGCTTAAACAAAGGGTATATACTACCGAAAGGTTTCACCATATTTTCATTTGTACAAGTAAACTGGTACTTTTTATGCATCGACTGTAAATGACGTGACAAGTGGACTCTTACATTGTTTAATGCTATTGTAAGCTATGTCCTGGGCGGAAATTTCTTCAATACAGCGTAATTTAGTACTCCTTTTTATTAAATAGGAGAAAAAAAATTATTTTAATTCATTTTTTTTTTAAGTCTCAAAATTTTCCCCTTTTTAATATGAATATAAATACTTCCGCTCTACCAAAGATTTTCTCCTTAGAGGCATACGTGTGACTTTGATCAGAAAAGTGACTCTCTAGCCAGGACAATGCTACCCATACAAGTCATAACTGGACACAACTGCATGCACTGCTTTACCTGAATATTTTCCTGGTCAAAGTCGGATGTAGCCACATCTGTAGTTGTGGTTCCAACTTCCAACAATTGCATGAGCAGCATTATTCTTCTATTATTTATATCCTCAATGTTTGCATAGAAGGCATTGGCAACCAAGTGCAAGGAGGTAGAGAATATAATGTATTGGTCCTAATTAGAGAAAATTCCATTAAAATCTAAGTGAATAGGTAATTAAGTATATGTTCAATTTAAGAATATTAAAGATGGGGAAATATGACGTGGGTGAATGTTTCCCATGCGGAAAATCGTGTTTCAATGATCATTTTTATCACCCATGAAACTTAATGTTTGATTGTAACTGGGAACAATGTTACTCATCAATGATCAACTTGCTGGTTGATTTGGGAGCGGCTTCCAATAATGTGTATATTGTGTGTGGCATTCAATAAGAAACGAGGACTTCTAACTCCGATATTTGAAGTCTTCGAGCTTCACCTCACAGAATATTGGGGTTAATTTCACAAAATAACTTGGAATTATTTTCCATTTAGTGAAACTCTTATAAAATAATTCAATAATAAAAGTGTGTTAAAAAGAATGCCAATCAGAATATTATTGTCATTTCATATATTAAAAATAGTATATTACACACCTTTGACATATCCCTATAAGACTATAGAGAAGCCATTTTGTTTGAAAGCAAAGCAAAAAGTATAAAAAGCCAACAAGCACGGATGGTCGATGAGAGATTCTCGTGAAATCAAATGCAAATTGTTTGTCTTCTACTGTTTGGTTGCTTCAATCATAATAATGATTATGGAGACACGGGTTCAACCTTTTCGTCACGGAATGACTTGTTCCTAATAAAATTAACATTGCTACAACTTTCGAAGAATTGGTGAAGCAGCAATATTATAAAACGAGGATGTTCTTTGTTGAAAAGGCCATATGAATTCCAAAATATTAACCACCATCTCAAAGTCGCTCAAGCTATAATGTACGTACGTACACTAGAGCTGAGAAAATCATGAACAACAACGCATGGCATTTCAACAAGCCTTCTTTACATGGTGCAAATTTTTGGTACATAAACTGACATACAAATTACACTTGTTCCTGGTGTGTATTCACTGTTTGTCCAGGTGTTATGGCAAACTGCAGACCCCTTCGCTGCCCTGATTGTAGAACGAAAGCAACTTGGGTTGCTGCTAGTGCTGCAGCCTCCTGCTTCACCATAACATGAAAACGATAAGAATTTCCCAGAACATAACTGATAATCCATCTCCATGTGTTGCAGTTTCCCAGCAACACGACCAAGAGATATGAACAAAAATGGAGCCAAAAAGCATCATTTCAAAACAAAATTTATAAATACTGAATTGGCCAAAAAAAAAAAAAAAAACCAAAAATTAGTCAGAACTACAACTGAAACTTACTTGTCTTTGTCGGCGACGTTGCAAAATACTGATTGCCCAAGCCATGATATAGCAAGGTAAAAGAAATCCAGCAGCTCGAAGCAAGAAAAGCTGCAGAAAATGGTCAGTTAATTAGGTTTGCTCGACAATACATTTGAAAGCAATAGTACAATACAACAATAACCATATGAACTACTTAGCCACAAGGAACTCAAGTGACTTACAGAGAAAAAAGTGGATGGATCATCTTCAGCATCAGCATCCGGGACAGAAAGTGCATGCCTCAAGAGTAAAAGGGCCATAAACTGCACCAAATAGAATGGATTAGGCTTGAAAGTATGTCCAAGTGTTAGCATACTAGCATAGTCAATGTGCATCAAGACCCTAAAGATCATATCAAGTAAAATCAATTTTCTTGAATTTCCAAACAATATGCCTAAAGCTTCACACTTTTGTTTCTATATCTACTGTCCAATAGCATGGCCTCAAGAAAATGGATGTCTGGTGCTCATTCATATATGACTGAATTCTACAAATAATTTGTTAAAAAGGACTTCAAGGTTAATAATCCTTACAATTAGAACAGCTGAACGACAAAATGCAGCTCCACTGGCATTAGAAGCAGCATATCCATCATATTCTGCTTCAAAGAACTGGCGTTCTGCCTCTGCAATTGCCAAGAGTCGAGGATCACGCAAGTCCAAAGGCGTGCCAGAGATTGTCCAACCTCCACTGCAAATATGGTCATAACTCATGAGACAGGAGTTTCAAACAAATATCTTTTTTAAGAGTTTGAAATAGATTGCTTATACATAGAACTAACATACTAGAACTAGACTATTTTAAAATAGAAAATTTCAGCTTACCCTATATCAATGGTAGTTTCTTCGGGTTGTGGGCGAGGTGGTGGGGCAGTATAACCAGGTTGATAGGGCTGAGAATTCAATAAACAAAAGGAAAATAAACTAACATCAAAGATATGCACTAATTTAATATCAATGGAAGGATTAAAGTATACAGACACATTCAGAGAGAGAGCATTTGGTTCAATTCAGAGATACCATTGTACAAAATTATTATTCAATAAAGCTATATTTATTTATTTTAAAAATAAAAAAAAAGTATGACCAAAGGGAGTTCACAAGTCACAACCATTATCTACCATCATCACAAGATTCACAACCTTGCAATATTATGAAATATGAAAATTTAATGTAAAAGAAGCATACCTTATGACATATCTCACAAATAATGTCTCCTTTCTCGTTGCACCAATGCTGGACGCACTTTCTGTGAGCGTACTGTGCAAAAAACAAATTCCATCAGTTCATGAATTAGGAAGAAAAAAACAGAGACGAGATATATGAAAACCAATGCCACATATAAAGCAACGTTCTCAGCATCAATAACGCATCTACCAGTTCAACACAGGAAACCAATTATGCTATCAAAAATAAAAGACGGTGCTTCCCAGAAGCATTTTATTACCAAGCAAGTTTTTTCCATATCTCAATTAGGAAAAAAAAAAAAAAAAGGATCTAATTTGTAACCCGATAGGATAAAGGGCATAATAGCATATATTGGAGCCATAATTAACTAATTATCATCACCACTAACCATAACACCTGAAATTCCAATTTTATTTATTTATTTATTATTCTTGGCTTTTTAATGAAACGAAGACCTGGAATCCGGAGAAAACAAGAATGTACCTTAAGACTGCCGCTGCAGGCGCAGGGTGACTCTAGATTGTTGAGGCTGTCCTCCTCCTGACAAATGCGACACTCCGCCATCTGTAACAGCGGCTCCTCCTCGTCCTCCTCCGTCGCCGGAGAAGAACCGGAGGGCCCCTCATCGACCGGTTCAGGAGAGGGCTGAGCCGGGTGTTGGGTCAGCGGCTCAACCGGCACGGGGCGGACCAGACGGTCCACATACAGCACCAAATGATCGCTCATTGATGCTTTTTATTTATTTATTTATTCAAACCTAACCAACCCAACCCAAACCAAACCCCCTGAGGAACAATATAATCAAAATCAAAATTTCAAAAAGTTAAAGTAAGAGGGGGAATGGAATGGAATGGAATCGAACGGAACCGAGAAAAAAAGAAAGAAAGAAAGAAAAACCCAAGATCACGCGGTGAATCGGCGGATCCCGAGAAAATGAGGGAATCTGAGACTCACCGGAGAAAAAGGGTAATAATTTGTAAGAGAAAGAGGGAAGAGAGAGTGTGTGTTTGCGTGTGAAGGAAATAAGACTTTGGGCGCATATATAGGGAAGATAGAGGTGTTGGTGTTGGTGAATGGTGAATGGTGAATGGTGCTGTTTCTTTGGTTTGGTTTGGTGGCTTCCTAGAATTCGAATGTGGAATTTTGGAACGTAGAAAAGGACATTATGGTCATTTTGAGACAGGCATGTATCGATGATGTTGGTATTATTATTGTCTTGCGCTGCCGCGTAAACGACCCGTTCCCCCCCGTCTGTGTGACCGAGTTCGGGACCCACGTCTTATGAGTCAAGACAGATTTTCTTCGTAATCGAAGACAGGGCAAAAAAATTAAAATAATGTATTTAAATTAAATAATTATGTATTTAATATTGTTTCGTAAAAAATTACACATCTATTGCACAATGTGTCGCCAGTTTTGGGCGTTTCTCCCATAGATAAGACGCCTCAATGGGGCGTCACATGTGACGCCCAAAACTAGCGTCACATGTGTGCTCTATATATTTCCTCACCCCCTCCATTCAATTCACATCTCTTCTCTCGCTCTTCATATCTCTCTTCTCCACCAACATTCCTTTATCTTTAATTTAGTATTTGAATTTTAGTTGTAATTCTATTTAAAAATGAGCTCAAATCCTGATTCTGTTGGTAGGAAGGTAGAAGGTCGACGAGGTGTCATATTCGAAGGTGAAAAAAGGCCGACACGTATCCAACGCAACACAACCATTGGCGAACTGCATCAGGGAATTCGGCAGAAGTTAAGTCTTCAAGACAACCAATGTATCACTGAGATCACGACAAGGGTGTGGCAAGGTGATAAATACATTAGTTTGAAAGTGCTAGACGATGAAGACTTGGAGATGACAATGGAAGAATTTTGCAACCAGTCAAGGACAGATTTTCTAGAGTTGTATGTCGACATCGTTGCAACGGAGAATGCTCCCATACCGGTGATGTCAGTTTATTTAAATTCTCCCCGTCTTCCAGCTTCTCCTGCCGCTCATGCGTCTCCAGTTGGTATCTTTTCTGAGGGAGATGAAAATGATCCGACTTGGGAAATGCACGACGAAGATGACGATGATGACGATGAAAACATGGCAATGGAAGAACATCTTCTGGCGGAGGATGCTAGTGCTTCAGAAGGAGATGAATCTTGTGAGATGGGTGCGTCTGAAATTCCAATATTCCATCAACCAGTCGTCGCGCAAATGCCGCAGTTGAATGACGTTGCGTCTGCTCTGTTTGGTATTCCACAAGAAGATAATTGTTCCCATTTGTATACTGCGTGAATAAATAACTGATTTAATACCTGAATTAGTAAGTTCGTATTAAAAAATTATAATCCGCAATTGCAGGTGACACAGATGTTATTCCTTTTTGGGAAGGAATTCCGCATTATTCTTACATTGATTGGAGTTATCAGACTTGTCCGCCAGACTTGTCCGCCAGCAACCAAGTCCCCAACATCCGGGCAATGTGGGCTTTTGTGAAGTAGATCTCGGCAGCATGATTCCCTTCATGATCAGTCCACCGGGTATAATGTCGATCCAAGAATGAGATGCGGAGGTCGCCAGAATGATGGAACTCACCGGCCTCTGGAACATGTCCAAAAACAGCAGCAGAAGCAGCGTGCCAATCCTCAGAGGTCGATCCGATGACGACATTACCGTCGGTCGGCAAGCCCAAGATGCCTGCCACATCTTGTAAGGTGATCGTCATCTCACCTTGGGTCATGTGAAAGGTATGTGTCTCTGGTCTCCACCTCTCGACCAGAGCACTAATTAAAAATGTATCTATCTGTGATAAATTACGCAGTTATCAAGTGTTAACGAATTTTATTAAATAATTACATAAATACAAAACGACATAAATAACATACCTGGATATGTTGCATCCTGGCAACATGTATGAAACCCGTCTGTCTGAGGTACTCTTCCACAACCTGTGGAATAGCACCGGTAGGTGGGGCCCCTTGTGGCTTCCCATGCCTAGTCTTAATCTTTCTTACATGCTCAGTATTCCACACTCGCTGTGAAATATGACCTTTCTGCGTCCTCTGACGAAGGACCTCCCACCTGTACGGTCCAGGTATGATCCACATGCTGGGATCGGTGGGCTCTACATCCGAATCAGATCCCGAAGAAGATGATGACTCAGCCATTATCCGCAGCTAACTACAAAGTTATGCACTCCCGCATTAATAACATCATACATACGAAATTTACAAAGTCTCTAACACTATTTATAAATCACTAATTAATATGCTAAACCCTAATACATAATTAAAAATCGGTAATAATAATAACTACGTAATAATAATATTACTATATCATTACAACATTCATAGCATGACACAAAATTTCTAAGTGACTATCCTAATGTTCCAAGTCTCTAATATACAATCAATCCTAACATGTATTACTAACTAGCACTGTAATTTAAATGTATACATATGGGGTATTATGACCTTACCTACGTTGGCAGAGCTTCGCTACGAACCGCAGTTAGAGAGAGGTTGGAGAGAGGTTAGAGAGAGGTTAGAGAGGTAAATGAGTAAGGAGTGAAAAAAGGAAAGTGAGGTATATATAGGTTGCACATGAGACGCCATCTTTGGGCGTCACATGTGACGCCCTACTGGGGCGTCTTCTCTAGGAGAGAGACGCCTCACTGGGGCGTCACATGTGACGCCCAAAGAAGGCGTCTCATTGTGCAACAAATATGTAATTTTTAATAAAACAGCATTAAATGCGTAATTATTTTAATTAATTACATTATTTTAATTTTTTTGCCTCGAAGACAGCTTCCAATTATTATTATTTTCGTTACTATTTTTTTTTTGGATCGAGCAATTTTTTTTCCCTTTTTTTCTTCTTAATTTTTATCATCATGATTTATTAATTATATCGAATGTTGTCTTATGAAATATCCTTTTAAATGCATGCTTAATCTTTATTAATTTTGAAATATATAAATTATATTCATTAAAAAGATTAATTATAAATTATTTTAAATATTACATATGTGGCTGATTAACCAATTATACTTTTTTTGAAAAAATTATTTGAGTAAATATAAGGTAGAGGGCATTAAATTAACTAAATTTATTTAATTGATATAAAATTTGTTTAAATTAGAAATCGATATTCAATTTGTTAAGTCAAATAATATTTAAAATTATAAATAATTTTCATTTATCTAACGTAATTTTTTAAATCGTTGAACAATCATTAACGCTAAATTTATTTTTAATTGTATTAATTTGAGTATTTATTTATTTAATCTATCCAAAAAATTCAATCCACTCAATTTTTTTTTATAAATAGGAAAAGAATTAATAATTATATTATTTTTATTGATAATAAATTTGATATTTAGAATTTATAGGAATTTCAAAATATCATATATAAATGAGAATAATTTTCCTTTTTAATTATTATTTACTTATTCAATTAATTACAAAATAATATTATCAAATTAATACAATTTATATAAGATAATAATTAAAAATTTAAATGATTCTCATTTACATGTTAATATTTTAAAATCCTTACATGTTCAAAAATATCAAATTTATTATCAGTATTCGTTAATGTCAATATGATTATTAATATTTCTTTTTTCTTTCTTCATTTGTCGAGAAAAAAATAGAGTGGAATGAATTTTTTGGACAAAGACAGAAAAAAAATAAGAGTTGATGTTTTCTTATGTTGCATGAAAACATGAGAGAACAAAAGTAGAGACAAATAAAATGTTGGTTCCATATTTTATATTAGAAAAGAAATGAAAAATTAATTGACATGAAAAATAAATTTGTGTAGGAAAATTTTTTACTATCCTATTACATGAGAGCATGATTTTCCAAAAAATAATAGTCAAATTATTATTATTATTTTGGAAGAGGACGAGGGGTAAAAGTAAAACCCAAAAGAAAATATAAAAAACACAGAAAAATACGGAAACAAAACCTGGAGCATTTCCTCTTAGATCACCTAGTCTGAAGTTGGTGCTAATGCTTTCTTGGCTAAAAAGTATCTCCTTGCCTTGGAACATACAGAGGCTTGATCAACCAGTTCTTAGCTATATTCCTTCGAATAACCAGGTCTCAGCAACATTTAACCCCATAAAAATAGCCTAGAGCTCCACTTCCTTTGGATTGCACCAACATATATGGTAAGAGAATCCATTAATCCACACGCCTTGTGCATTATTGAAGATTTCACTACAACCAGCGCTACGAGAAGTAAGGCAAATAGCTACAACATTTAGCGGGCGTTTGGTTGAAGAATTATTTTTGGAATAGTAGAGAGATGTAATAGATAGAGAAATGATTGGAAAGATAGATAAATTGAGATAGATAGAAAAATGTAAAAAAAAGTTGTTTGGTGGGAAAAAGTTTTACTGGAAAAATTAGGTAACTTTATGAAATCAACAGTGCATTAAAAGTCAGATAACCGGTTTTCCGAAAATCCCACCTTCAAATTGGGTTTCTAAACAGTGCGGATATCTATGTTTCTCATAAATCCAGACAAATTAGATAGATGGGTTTTGGTGAAAATACGTTGAAACAAACATGGTGTTTCTAAAAGTCATACTTCAGAAAGATAGATATCCGCTGAAAAGCTCCCAACCAAACACCACCTTAGGTTAATCCGAGAAGAAGGAGAAGGTTTCCAACCAGCACTTTAGCAAGAATTATGTTGACATGAATAATAATTTCACACATTGTCATTTAAAAAAATCTTTTAGATTATGGGTTCACTTTTTTTTTTTGCAGAAGATAAGTTATCTGCAGTAAGCCCAATACGACGTCGTTTTAGGGCAGAAATCATGGTGTTTTTGTAATTTTAATTTATTTCAGGGTTATTATATATTGGAGTTAGTTGCTGAATACTGTAACAATAATATTCAAACTCAAACTTGCAACAGTCTCTTAGATAGGTTTAGCTAAGTCGATATTCTTGTTTAGCTAGCAGATATTCTAGCCGATAGAGTATTTTGTTTGTTAGTTAGTTTTAGCCTTTAGATAGAATACCTTCATAATATATTTGGTATAACAGTTTTGTACTGATCCCAGCCTACTTAAAGGGCTGCA